TCAATAAGTTTTCAGTTTGCAGATGACGACCAAATTAAATGTGATGCAAGATAATCCGTTTTTCAATTTTTTTTCTGTTCTCATATACTTTTTTGAAGTATTTACAAGAAAAATAATGCAATAAAAACATTTTCTCTACCAAATGTAAAACTATATGACAGTAAAACTGAGCTGTTTTTAAGAATTGCCAGCACAAACAACAACCAACGAAAGCTTATAAACATACAAATGTATGTAAATCTTATAACAACTTTTTGTAGTATACAGTTGTCATATGTATTTTTTAGTGAAACCGATCAAATCTTGCTCTTCCCTCCTCTTTTAATTCCCCCCATTGTCCCCAAAAAAAAATCTGGAACTATAAATCACTGAACTATTTAGAAGCACAATTTAAAATACAAAAAACTTCATTTTCTGAAATAACTGCTATCTCAACAATACGATGATTTATCATAAAACTCACGCTTCTAGATACGTTTAAAAAAAAATTTGCTTCACAGTAAATTGCCAAGTAGAAATGTTCTCATATTAGCAACTAAATAATTCTAGTCACGTACAGTTGTTTCATACTCTTTTTGATTGCAGTAATCTGTCTCAAAAATTCCCTACGTTTAAAACTAATCTTTGAGTATTCACTAATCACTATTGGCTGCTTCAGACAAAAACTGTCGTTACTGATAATTACAGATTGCTTTACCCTCTTAAGCACCACAACTCTCTGGTAACAGAGCTCCAACGATAGATTTTAGCACACTGATATTATATCTTTAGAGAACAGTGTTTCTAAGCAACAATCGGCTTAAAAACAGGCTTGGAATAGAATGAAATGATATCAGGAAAAGAACGAAGTAAGAGATTTTTCATTTTAGTGAATTTTGCCTCTGTAAAGATGCAGTAGTTAGTATGGTTCAAACAGCTTCTTAAACTGTTAAGAGTTCTTGAAATGATTATGTTGTTGTCTACTTGATTTTTTGTGTATAGCCATTTACAAAGTCCAATTATCACTTTTTTCTATCACATAATTAAAGTTCTCAAAAATTCTCTCATCTCCCACAAATCTGATAGTAAGGTGTAGGTGGTCAACGGATTTAACCGCTGTAACGGTTCACAACTGTCCCATTCAGGCAGTCAGTGATTTTCAGTTTTATCCTTTAATGACTGTTACGTCCTTGTTGCTTTTTTCTTCTTTTAATAATACTAAGCAGAAGAAAATGAGAAATTGAAGTGACTTACGTTACTAGGAGATTTATCAGGTTCCATAGGTATTCCACCACAGCAAAGCGAAAGCGGCCTACCAAACAGCAATTAATGAAAACAGCAGTGACGCGGATCACCCAGTTGAACCAAATTTATCGGTCGTTCACTGCAGAAAATAGCAAAAACCATCGAAATTTCTATCGTTACGTTACTGTTTTTTTATCCGACATACGATTAATGAGCGTTT